TACTTACGCGCACACTACACCAGAGCAGTTGATATTTGCGGCGCTGGGCGAGACTTGGGATATGCGTCTCTACGAGAAGAGTTGGTATGTGTGAAGTCGCGCACACTCTCGTAATGATCCTGAGGGCGTTGTTCTGGATGGTCTCGAGGGAGGAGACATTTGAAAGAGATATTATGAACAAATAAACACACTGTATTCCAAGACTGGCCGAATGTGCGACCTCCATGACAGCTATCACAAACAGATGGCGAAAAGTACAAAATGAACATTAGTGTTTACACAGCCTTTGGCCTGTCCAGATATGTCACTTTCACAGTTTAAGCTGTCTTGCAAACATCAAAACCCCATTTAAACATTTCTTTAACCCCGTTCAAGCTTATCTTAACCAGTATCAACAGCGTCGTTTCCCCCCATACAGAACGCTCCGTCTGACACGCCCGCAGGCGCTCTGGATCGTAACGAAACCGATCCGGTATCGATCAGGATCTCCAGTATAGGAATGGGCAGCCCTTATGGGAAGCATCACAAAAGCCAGGCCGGTGCCATTATTGAACGAGGCCAATGCCGCTCTCAATCTGGCATGAAACACCATTTCAGGCATTTTAGACCCGCCATGGTTTAGAACCAAGTCCCAGCAGAAGACAAAGGGCTATTTGAAAGGAACGGATGACGGTTGTCCGCGCTCTAGGATTACTTTAAAACATCATGCAGGTGAAAAGACGTTAAGAACCAGTATTCGTTTAGTATGTGATGTAGTATGTGACCTTGGGTTAATGCAGGTCAAGATTTATCAACAGCCATGTAGCGGGTGAGGATATTTCAGAGACATAATTGGTGAGAAACTGAAAACTGACAGGTTTTTCGGAAGATGATGTATCCATCAGGAGAAAAATGAACTGTCATACACGGCATTCCTTTAAGCTACAGCCTTAACGGTACTATAAAGGTCAAATGTTGAGAACGATAGCATCGGAGCCCATGTCTGGCTGTGCGGCATAGGCTTCCTTCTGTTACCATCGTGGATGGAGCCATATGGTACAAGCTCCCGAATCTTGACGTGGAGTTGCTGCCCTTTTTTGATCAGACTGGTGACTAATGGTACCAAACAAATTAACTGCAACATTCAGAACTTTCAAATAGATACATTTACTAAGGAAACGCACGGCAAAGGAAGTTATAGCACCATACAAAGATGTCTTTGAAGACCTAGGTGGTGATGAAATCCTGTTGGGGAATCACAACTTGTCTAACGGATACCACATGCAGATGCAGTGGGAGGAAGTGATGTATTCGCATTGTGAGTTTTCGGAAAGTCATCTACTTTATCATGCCGGGCGACATGAATGCGTGCGGGAAGAAGCAGCGGTCTTCTTTGGTAGATTCGTATTCAGGGTTTCCTTGAGTGAATTAGAGTGTAATTTCCAGACTACAGTAGCATTTGGACAACAAGACACCCTATGTTACACGTTACACGTTAGAGCTTTTCGTGGCTTTCTTAATGCAACTCAATTTGTTCATAACTACAAAATATTTAATCGAACCGCGGACTAAGGTCAAAGCTTTACGGTGGCTTGCGTCCCGTTACTTTGCGAGCACTGCGCAGCGCTGATGGTGTTTGCTGTGCCCGTCAATCCCCTATATTACGCCTCCATTGCAGAGCGCAGGACATCCGTTTTCACTCTTCATGCATCTCTGATAGATGTGCTATGGTATTGTGAGTGTGAGTTTGAGTTTAAGTGGGCGTGATCTCTAGTCTAAAAGCTGAAGTTTTGCAGTCCGCAGGCGCTGCACTTACGCTAATACGCTTCAATTTAGAATATTTGATAAATTTCGGATTCAAAATTTTTGACCTGACGCAAATAAATTACACATATCGCCCTCTTGGGTACGTACGCCTCGTCCAGCGTGCCGAGCCTATAAGGACCCACATGTGGCATGGCGAGAGCGAGATCATAACAATGTGAGAACTATCAGTTGTTACCGATTAGATATTGTCAGAATTCAAGTCCCATTACACGGTGCCAGAATTTACGTTCATCGAGCCAAACGCCTGCGACAAAACCAATGGGTTTCAATGGTGCGTTCGGAAGTCTATGTTTCCTGATTTGGGAAGCAGAGCTCCACTGATATGGAGCAGGATTCGCGTGCTAATTTTTAATGACAGGACTTGAAAAAAGGTTATCTGCGAGCTCTACCAGGCTTGACAACCTTAACACGCGCTCGGACGGCCGGCTGGATATCCTTCGCTCGGGTGAGGTGGGGGTCAATTTGACCCCCCTAAGGTCTCGGGAACTAAGAAAGCTAGAAATTCCAAATTCACAAGGTGTGTTGACCTGTACATGAACTCACCTAGCTTAAAATTTGAGGTTCCTAAGTCATAACCTTCGAATCGAATAAGGTCAAGCATGGTCAAATTCCAGGTTGGCCTCGAAAGTGACCCTTGAACTTGATAACTGTTTCTAAGCCAAAGGTCATATGCTCATTGAAGGCCAGTGAACTTGTTTGACCTTTTTAAGGTCGTGGTGACTGAAATCATACGAGGCTGCTCTGAGTTTTGCATTTAAATAAAGGACAAAAATTACGCTAGGCAGTATATTCCCAAAAACAAAAAGTTGACCTGGGTCATTTTAGGTCAATGACCTATTCTGACCGCTAAGAAGTCTATTGTGGTGTGTAATGCGGTTTCTACCACCACTAAATTTGAAATAAGCGCCAGAAACTACCTGATACATCAAGCTCTAGAGTAATAAAACGGGCTGTTTTTCACCTTTATACCCGACCTTAAGTCAAAGTAATTTGTTCATTCAATATTTGCGTTGCCTAAGAAAGCATCTCAGAGATGCATGCCTTTGTCTAACACTCCGTTGTTGCATCAGATTGAGCGAGTCCCTAAAAATTGACTTCGCTAAAACCATGGCCTGACTTTGACCCGCCATAGGTCAGTGACATTACTAGGTACGTCTAAATTTGTGATAACAGACGATCTGATATTCAATTGTCTACAGATATGCAACATTTGGCGCGGCTGCGCCGCGCCGTTCGGAAACCATTCCGGAAAAAACCTCGAGGGAGGGGGGGGGGGGGGGGGTCAATTTGACCCCCACCCGAGCGCATGTTAACCGACAAGATCGGTGAATTTGCTGTGATTGATGGCTTCTCCCATTGTCACCAACATGTTGAGAAAACAAAAGTTCTTGCTTGAAATTATCCACAACTGAAAAGACCGTGCCTTACATGTCTGTGTAGTTTTTTATGGTCAGTTGTCCCCTCGGTGCCCTCATTTTGAATCCCTTCATCCACAACATCTCGCATTCGAGGTCGGTGTGGGAAAAAGTGACATCGTCCGATTGTCAGTATGTCACTAACGCAGATACGGATCGGTCAGCCTTCATATCCACCAGTGTTCTACCACCGGTACATTTGCCTGGAACTTGCAATTGGCTTCGCACATTCAACCGCCTCGGTTGCTGATATCTGATGTCCAACATGAAAAGGCGGCCGGCAAAGGCGGATCCGTGGTACGCGGCCAGGAGGCCCTGGCCACTCGCGCATATGAAACCGTGTTTTTTCTTCCGCAGGTCTCGAATCGTTGCGGCGCCCCATTGCCGAGCTTTTGACCCGGTTCCGACCTATGTTCCTCAGCTTTCAGTTCGCAACCAGAGAATTTTATCTACCTTTTCCACAGTGATAGACTTGGTGAGATGTTGTAGTGATCTGTGTGATACATCGGGGTAGTATTGCAATGGTGTGCAAGACGCCACCTGATCAACAACCCCACGTGCAAATTGTGAACAACCTATACCGAACAACTTAAAGGGAATTGGATTTCTTGCGCAAGGGCCAGCGACCAGTGTTTGTTAAGGCACTGACCTGCAGAGAAAGGCCTGCAGAGAGCGTGACCGCCGGGGAGGATGGAGCCTCCCAAATGGAAAACGTGAGCATAGTTCACATGCAAACCGCCCAGCCTACAGTCTCGAGGCTGATGATCATAATCACAAACAACCAAAGCCGCACATCACGTTGCTTCACGGCCCTGCAGCTCACACATGGGCTACGTGGAGTACGAACAGCTCATAAAGCACCATCGTGTTTATGTCCATCATAATGAAACTTCCAGCTTACCTTCTTACGTCAATTTATGGCACATTGGTGACACCATTACAACGGCGGTAATGCAACAAACAAAACATTTATCCGCAGCCCGAAGAGCGTGTTCTCACAAGGTGTAAACTCGCGACGCACTGAAAACGTGACGGATTCCGCGGCAGTGACTGCAACAGCGCAGGAATCACGTTCGTTGGCATTGACTCTGATTCGACGGCGTCAAGCCAGATACGACAGCACGACACGACACGCTGTCATAAAGAGTAACAATGGCACGGTCAACAACGACAAAATCAATAGCTCCCAAATGATACCAGTGAAATCCGAGCGGTGCTTTGAACTTATGAAATTCTCATGCCTTTTCTCCAATGGCATGCAAATTTACTTGGCACACGAATGACAACGCAGTAAAAAATTGGCAGGCAAGCAATGCACGCCCTCAGATCTTATGTAACATAATAGATCAACTGCGCTCTGCTGATGTACCACTGTCCACCATGCTTATCTCATGTATATACTATATGGCACCTTCTGGCTGAGTGCGTCCCTAGATGACGTACCCATTCGCATGACCACAATAAACAAGCAATGCGTAGCTAACGCCATCCATTCCTGCCGCTGATCACAATAACAAATTACTCGACCATTGCGATGGCGCTCAGGGTATCTATCCGAAAATGGTAAACCAACAAGGCACACAAAAAATGCATCTACTTCATCAGCTTCCTATTTTATATGACTATCTCATCAAACTTTCACGATGAACGCAATATGAATCATTGACTTCACAGCGATGTGATGTTACGTAACCATACAGCACGCACGATCCCATGATATCGACAAGAAAGCCACGGGTGACCGGTAATGACGACGGTAAATACAGCATAACACCACCTTAGTGTTTCCTCGACGTGGTCAAGCGTAAAATTTGTTTTGCAAAGGTCCCATTTTAAGACAATATCCTGTGGAACAATCTCTGATCTTATCAGCAATCAATCGTTGACTAACATGGCAACGAAGTCAACACGACAAAATAAGTCAGTCGTGACACGCGCCCGTGCTGCCACCAAACCGCGCGCAGTGTACTTGTAGTATAAACATTTGCCGACAGGTGTCTGGACAGATGGACACGTCGCGGCAAACACCGAGAAAACTGAGGCCGAGGGCGGTGCCAGCCAGCAGTACGGAGAGGCTCGCTACCATATCATGGGAGCATTTAGCCGGCTGCGGCGCCGCATGAGATACACAGACAACACTACCCCGTGCTGTCCTCCCAGCCAGAGTTCGTGCCAGCATACTTCACAAGCGACGCAAACAAGCGCAGAGCGAGTCAAAACACACCAGTGCAACAGCGATTTAACAGGAGCACGGTCTTCAGTTCAGCGGTGTGGCACGATCGACGGGACGTGCCCTGCGTGCCCAGTCATGACACTGTGCGTCTACAGTCTCTCCTCCAGCGCCCCGTCGGCCCACACATGCCGTTTGCTCATCGAACGGGCGACGGACAGCGCACTTAGCACGGATTGTCGTGGGTGCTCTTGTCGGGGTTGCATGGCGTCGCCTTGCTGTTGTCACTGTTCGCCTCCCCTGTTTTGACGGCGCCACCTTGCTGGACATCGGTCATTGGTATGCCGTCCGACTGGGCGCTCCTGCTGGCGCCCGAGTTGCCACTCCCAGTTGTCTTGGTACGGGAGGAGGGCGGGTTCTGTCGCCGGGGAGAAGATTCAGACGTTACATGGGAACGGTGAGACCGCGGCCTGCCGAAAGCGCCAGAAGCTCACTTGCCGTCGGAGATGACGACCACGAGAGCATACGCCTTCACGGTGGTATAATCATGATCGTCCATTCTGTCCAGCTGTAATTTGGTTTCGTTCACCAGCTGTACGGATGAAATAGACAAGGTTTGGCTAGGAAAATATATCATGTATGATGTCTTTTGTGTATGTATGTTCATAAACAACACTGTACCTGGTCGTCTCTCCCCGCTGGGTGCACCTTGCGAGCAGATGGGTTAAAGCCGTATTTGGTGAGCTCCAAAAATCGGTTTTTGATCGCCCGGCGTGTGGAGGAGCGCACGATGAACAGCAGGAAGATCAGCGTTCCCTGGGAGGCGTTGATGATGTCCGTGAAGTACCTGGAAGGCGAAAATGACATTTCATAGTCGCCTGCCACGGCATGACCTGATACAACTTAACAATTTGTAGGTTCGTTACCCAAGATGAGAACTTTGAACTCATAATGTCACGTGCTATGTTTCACTCAGTACTAAATAATACGGGCAGCGCAAGCCATATCATCACAGTGCGGTGCATAACGAGGCGAGGACAAGGGAGGTCATACAGCAAAACGCACTCAAACAGCAAGGATAACCCAAACGTTACGGGTGATCTGATCGCATATATGTAGTTTCGCAAGTTGTGCTTTTCATAATAAAACCCCATTCATCTGTCTACGGAGGATCCACAGCAAGATTGGCTCTCGCCTCGTGCATTATATAGCATAACTGAGCGTGATTAAAGTTACATGGCAAGCTGGCAGCTGACACATTCCGAGATCTACTTCGATTCCGTTAGTCGTGCGTTCGTGAAGTCTTGCATATCTCGCTGATTGCACATCTACAAAGGCGCAGTGAATCGGCTGTGCGAGTGCGACGCTGCATCCATCTCAATGCACTTGTAGACATCTAGATTCATTTGATTGCAGAAATCGAAGCAAGTTGCGGCACGCATTTGGCAGAAATGATGGCAGCGAGCATGCCATGACCAGGTCACAGTAATCTGATCGCGTGAGCATGGGGAAGACGGAATAAGAGGAAAAAGACGAGGAAAAGATAATTTAAAGCGAATATATATATATATATATATATATATATATATACATATTTTAAGATAATTTGAAGTAACTGAAAAGGGAGCTAAATAGATATTAATGTGGGGCGAAAAACAAAGTCACCTGATTGTGCTTCATCCAATGATTCAAACGATTCACGGGGAATGACATTGCTTGCCAACTCCGTGCGCTGTGCGTTGGAGTTACTCAAATACCGGATGCATGTATCGAGTAAATTCGTATTTCATATCATCAGAATAGTACCACAGAATTATGAGTTGACTACAATCAACAACTGTGAGGGTGCTGGAATTTCACCTGAAGAAAATGTGCCCCGTTTCCAGAGCCAATTCCACAAGAGTCTCATCCGGCGAAAACGGCCTAGAATCCGTCTTCTGTATGATCTACAGGTTATATCCAACGAAATATGATCATTCAGGCTACAAGTAAACAAAGTTTGTATTGCACATTGATAAGCTGTCATCATTCATCTTGTTGTTATCTCAATAAGACAGCAAAGTCAGTGTTATTCCTCGCAAAATAGCTAGGAGAATGGAGAGATAGACACATCATACATCCATCTCTTCATTCTCCTGGTTATTCTATGAGGAATGCCAGACATAACCAACAGTAATGTTTTATCCGTATGCGTAATGTTCCCCGCAAATGCACTTAACAACAGTTATCATCTCTATATCTGAAATAGTCCGAATGTTTATTTCATGGCAAATGCTTTCCTGCATTTCGCCTCCAACTTGCGCAGATGCTCCAAAGTATTTCGCTTCAATCGATGACAAAACTGTTCAATTGAGAAGTTGATTTTGATTCTAACGGAATCCATTACACGCCCAGTTTAGAGAGCAATGGGTGCCAGTGAGCGGGCAAACGATATTGAGTGAAAGACCGCAAAAACATGTGCGTTTATGTACCGGTGGAAATCTTACCAGAGCTGTTTCGGTTTTATCTGTGTGGACAAGCATTCAGCTATCCAGCTGACTTCCATGATGATGAACAGATTCACGTACACCTTCAGCCTGAAACAGTGACAATACAGCATCCGTCAGCTGCTGAGCACAACACACCATCAGCAGCCGGTAACACTCTTGAAGTGGGTGCAGGTCACTGCTCCCTCACCACAGAACACATCCAGTAGAAACTGTCCGACGGACAATTTGTGGAAAACCACCCAGTGACAGACGAGAGTAAAGCGCAACTGGTGGGAGAAGCACACATTTGGCACAACGTTGAGGTGTATAGCTACAAATCGTAACAGCTACCCTTCCAAAGTTTACGTGTCTGGCACAACCCACGCGGCCTCAAGCATCCGCCACCGCCATATTTAAACACTACTAGGATCTTAAAGCCCCTGCATTATCAATAAAGCCGCGCCAAACTACAGAAATGAAGTCTGAGCTTGCCCAACGCATGTAATGAATGATATTCCCTGATTCTGAGCCTATTACTTCCAACACCTGCTTCTGAAAACATTGTACGTTTCGTACCAGGGACATGGCCGTAATAGACTAGCAGCTATCACGTGAGCGAACGCGCGTCGTGATTTCGGGTCCAAAACCGATAACGATTCATCGTGTTTTTACTCCTCCTGTGCATCTTCTACATCCGCCTATGGCGAAGCCCACCCGCGGCGAAGCAACACATTGAACAGTCGAAGAATATACGTACGCGTCTGCGTGCGCGTGCGTGTGTGTGTATGTAATGCACGCGCACGCGCACGCGCATATTACGTGTATATACTAATCCTTCAACCCTCCTTTTTCTCATCTTATCTTGCAACTTTGTGGAAGAAGGCTAACTTGTGACTAAGAATGAAATGATTGTTTAATGGAAACCGACCATGTTTGAATACCACCAAAAATGGACTTCAACTGCACTTATTGCAGAAAAATCGTGAATAACGACGGCAAAACACAATGCGCTCATTTAGACACGAGAAGTGGTCAAATTGGCACGGGTCGCGCCGAGGAAAAGCCATCGTTTAAGGGCCGTCCTTTCCCTCCCTTTCTTTCAGGTCTTTTCAGCTGCAAAATTGCATTCGGAACACACCATACACACCAGCGAAAGAGAATGGGGACACTGAAAATGTTGTTTCTCTTACCGTGCTTTACATTATGTAATATAGTGTGTAATGTGCGTTTGTAGCCAATCCTGTACAGAACCAGAGGACTGTTTCGACATGACGCCTCTTTACATCGTACTGGAGACCGGCTATGACTGGACACCATTTTACAACGGGCCCGGACTAGCTGCTATGATTCAACAACACCTCACAGCGGACCGGAGGCCCTCTATGCCTCGACAAGACATTTCGCCGGACCATGGGCCGGCTATGACTGAACGGCCCCATATACAGGACCTCAGGTCCACCATAACATTACAGCCTCCTACACCGAGCCCCGCTCTTTATTGGCCCATGAAAGACCACTCCCCACTTGGGAGTAAGCCCGTTCGACGTGCCTGATTGAACTATGACGTCAGGGCCCAAGCCCATTCCTAGCTCGGACGAGAGGCGAATCAAGTGCTTTTGTTTACAAACAGGTCGTCTCTGTTTACATGGCAACGACTGCCAACGGCCGACCCACTGTTGCTGACCTTGTATATCGGGCAGATGGCAAGGTCTTGATCGCCCGTGGATGGCGCGATCAACAATGTTTTGAGCTACAAAATTTGTAAATAACTGTGCAATCGAATAACATTAAATTGGATCACTTCCGCGTGTTATGTTCCCGTAGGGTTCAATGAGCTAATGCTACCTACTACTCAAATTTAGGATCACCCCTCGCCCTGCTAGTGGAGAAGTTGGGGTTTAACACGCGCTCGGGTGGGGGATCAAATTGACCCCCGGAGGTTTTTCCCGAATGGTTTCCGAACGGCCAGGCGTAGTCGCGCCAAATTTTACATAGCTGTGGACAGTTAAATAGCAGATCATTTGACACAACAAACTGAGATGTACCTTGCAAGGCCGCTGACCTATGGCAGGTCAGTATCAGGCCATGGCTTCAGCGAAAACAATTTCTAGGGAATCGTTCAATTTGATACAACAACGGAGTGTTTGACGAAGCTATACATATCTGAGATGCTTTTTCAGGCACCACAAATATTGAATGAGCGAATTACGTTGACCTAAGATCAGGCATGAAGGTCAGACCAAGGTTGAAACCAACCTGATTTATTACTTCAGAGCTTGCTATATGAGATAGTTTGTGGTGCTCATTTCGCATTTATTGACAGCAGGAACCCCATTATACATCTTCCATTGTTCCATTGCCTTCTTATAGGTCAGAACAGGTCATTGACCTAACATGACCTGGGTCGACATTTTGTTTTAAAAACATGCTGCCCAGCGTGACCTTTGTCGCTTATTCAAATGAAAAACTCAGAGCAGTCTTGTGTGATTTTCGTTACTATGACCTTCAACAGGTCAATCAAGGTCACTGACCTCAAATGGGCTATGTCCTTTTGCTTCGAAACAATTGCCTAGGCTCTGGGGGCTCTTTGGAGACCAACCTGGAACTTGACCTTCTTTGACCTTATTTGACCTGAAGGTAATGACCTATGAAGCTCAACCTTTGACCTACGTGAGTTCACGTACAGGTCAAGACACACTGAAAATTTGGAGCTTCTAGCTTTCTTAGGTCCCAAGATCTCAGGGCGGGGGGGATCAAATTGCCCCCACCCGAGCGAAGAGTATCCAGCCAGTCACCCGGCGCGTGTCTACGGGGAGGCCGTCCTGATTCGCCGCATGACGCAGACTGAGAGGGGGAGTCATGCGAACCGCTTGGCGTTTTCAAATTAACGCAGACAGAGCTTAGCGGAAAAGGCGAGAAGATCGATCTCAGCAAGATCTCGCGATTGGTACTGGTTTTTATGTTGTGAATTCAATAACTGACTCCGCTGTGGCAGGGCAAAGGTCGAATTGCCAAACAATCGCACTTTTTCAGCCTTACAACGTCATGCCTACAGGACCATGCCTTGGGGCGAAACAAAACTTGAACAAGCGTGCTCCTTGTCCAACTCTGGGAACCACGGCATTTATTTGAAAGTGTTTTGAGGGTACCTTTATGACATTTGGCTCCGTTAATGCAACAATGTCGACCACCGCGCCAGCCACGGCATTGTCTGTTCCCGCCTGCTGACGGCCGTCAATCGCCGTGCAGTGCTCCTCAAAAACTGCTGGTGCTCCGAAACCAGACAAGCTAGGGACACGTTTCTGGCGTTAAAGCGAATGTTCCACACTTGAAGATAATTGAACAGGCATTAGATATGATGAAATAGGCTCATAAGTACTGGTACACTCTAAGTGAACAGGGCGGCTCTCGATGACACAATTCCTCCGTCCAGCAAAATCTCCATTAATACGTCATTGCTTAATCATAGCACTGTACCTCGTACAACTTTGATTGAGATCCAATTGACGGACGTTTTATCTGGAAGTCGTGTTCACGAACGCCAGATATGAACGACTCGACAATAATAGTTTCCTTGGCCTTGATAACGCCACACGGTCAGTGCAAGGACAGGATTTAAATTACGACATTATGGCGTCATGGATGCCTGGGCAACTTTGAAATAGTTTTCCAGAAATAGCCCGCACATGTTTGCGGCGTGCAGCTCGGAAACTGGAGGGACTTAGACCTTAAGACGAGTAGGACTGTGAACAGCACCGGAAGGTCCTCAAGATGGCTATTTCAGCTTAAAACCCCATACACACGTGGGACACTCCCTTTAAACACGTGCAATAGATGGGTCACATGCTACTACAAATTTGGGCACGATTGCCTAACATGCCCGGGAGGTATCGTCAAAAAAACCGGGAGGGGTGCATCTACTCTCCTCCTACTCCCTCTCCTATCATGGTGAGGGTTAATGGGAATGTTCTACCTTTACATGAGGTTTTTAACTGAAATAGCCATCTTGAGTGCCTTTTGACCTTAAGACCGAAAACCCTCAGGGTTTTGGGTCTTAAAGTGCGAAAGTGCGAAAAGGTTTCTTGGAAAGTGCGAAAGGGTTTATTGGGAGACTACTTTGCGGTTACCTTGGCATTCATGTCGTCATAGAAACGTCGTACACTTGTTATATTACAGGCTATCTTCTGCTTATGGTCAAAAGCAGCATCGCCGCTGATACATTCGTAAGAGCGATGATGCGGCACGTATGGTACAATCCGCGGAAAGCGAATGGCTGCTAGTGAGATTTCGCTGCTGAATGCGCATCGTGAACGTAGGCGTGAGCACTTTCGTGTTGTGCAGCAGCCGTCGCCAACGGGAATTTTTCCTTATTTCTAGACCATAGGGCAATGTTACAAGGAGAGTACGCCACTGTCTGCAAAAAGCACAACAACCAAAAAAAGAACGGCACTCTCACGAATGTTCTAAAAAGGAAGACGCGACGGCAAGTCTGCCTTTTTCGCTCCCGCTGGCGTTTTTTTTTCTTCATCTGCTGGCGTATTTCTTACAGACGGCTCGGTTGGCGCCTTGTGTACCGGAGCAAAGACCTTGCACGGGTTTATGGGCTAGCAAGGCATGATACAATTAGGGAAGTATTACAGTAATTTTGGATATACATATTTCTTAAATATTCGACACATGTTGTAGAACAAATTTAAATCCTTGTTTTGGTAATCTTTAAATCTAATAACTCCCAATCGAATGTGATGTATTGATACTACCCCTTCTTCATCTTTGTCTTTAGGTTTGCGTTTGAGTAAGACAAGGTGATGATATCGGTGAACTGAAAGAAACACTAGCACCCATGCTGCAGGAGTGTTCAAAGGCAACTTTCTACTTCATTATGATCTTGCCAACATTTTGAACCTAATGAGGTATTACAGCATGCAATTAATCCATTGCATACGAGTACATTAGCAATTAATTTTAGCAGCAGGGGCAGGTCCGTGCAACCTATTAATGCACACGTTTAGTATGAGCTCACATGACACCGCTCTGCAAAATTGTCTTCCCCTTAAGGATTCTGAAAATATAGTGCTGCATTATTATAGATGCACATGCTATTGTTT